CTTCAGCTCCAACTTCTCTAATGACATCAATAATGGCTTGTCAATGCGGATGTATTAGAATATCCGACAAACATAAAAACCAGAGCATTTAATGTTGTAGCAAAGGTCCTTCTACTCGTTTATTCTTACAATCTTAGCATTACCAATTGAGATGTTTATGCATGAGTTCACACATCTACAAAAGCTTTCGATAGACAAGGAGAAGAATTTAGAGGAAAAAAGAGACAAGATGTTATCAAATTATCTCATACATATCAAAAAAGAAAGAGGATAGTATGCAATATTGATCACAAATAAAATGTAGTAGAAAGAAAGTAATTGATATGCTAAGCCTAGGTACAATTATAGAGGTATCTAAGCCAGAACCAATTTGTTCAATTTCTGGATTAATTATATGAATGGTCACTGAACTTTGCCTATGTTACCACTTAGTCATTGAACTTAAAAATGTAACTCAATGGTCACTGAACTTCGTCAAGTGTTATTACTTCATAACCAAACTTTAAAATGTATCTCAATGGTCACCAAACTTTGCACCGTGTTACCCATCCGTCACTCAAATGATAAAATCCGTTAAATCCAACAAACGGCGTCAACTTGAGTGACGGATGGGTAACACGGTGTAAAGTTTGGTGACCCTTGAGATACATTTTAATATTCGATTATGAAGTAGTAACACTTGACGAAGTTCAGTGACCATTGAGTTCCATTTTTAAGTTCAGTGACTAAGTAGTAACATAGGGCAAAGTTCAGTGACCATTAAGATATATTTTTAAATTGAATTATTAAGCCCTTGTTTGAGTCTCATTCTTTCAAAAAAAAATACATTCTTAAACAATGAATTGACATCATTTAACCATACATTCTTCAATAAAATATATGTGAATTTATAGGGAGTGCATCCTTTTTTCTAGGAATTATAATCTAACAGATCACACACACATATATAATTAATTAATTAATTAATTTGGCATGTAATCTCGAGTTACCAAACGTCAGATCAGTTTCGGCATTAGAATTCCAAACACATTTGGTGTAATTAGAACATTGATGAGATTAATTAGATTAATTGTTTTTAAATTTGATAGGATAGTTATATTCTTTTAAATTTCCAACGTAACTATGTCATTGTTTAATCCTCATTCTTTCCAAAATTTATTTTTTTAAAACTTATTCTCAACCACACATTCTTCAATAAATTAATATTACACGCAAATTCAAAAATTTTCCTTATTTTTTAACTACACATTTTCCATCAATTTACTATTCAAAAATTCATTTTATCCCTCAAAATGGGGATCAAACAACGGCTAAACTTCTCAAATCGATATCTATGAAAGAAGAAATCAAAGAAAATGAAGGGAAAAAAGAGGAAACAGAAAATCAGAGACTTATAAATTAAATAAAAATAGAATTGTTGCTAATATTCATCCATCATGGTGAAAAAGTACATTTGATTTTTAGATCAACTGATATCAGTTCACCGTATCTCAAACTCTACATAAATAGATTGAAAAAGAAACAGTTAGAACACTAAAAGAAATTGAAAAAGAAAAATTAAATAAAAGTACAAAAATGTTGGTGTTAATGTAACTGATGTCCATTTGATTTTTCAACTATGTTACTACTTAGTCACTGAACTTAAAAATGTAACTCAATTGTCACTGAATTTCGTCAAGTGTTACTACTTTATAATCGAACTTTAAAATGTATCTCAATGATCACCGAACTTTACACTGTGTTACCCATCCGTCACTCAAGTTGACGCCGTTTGTTGGACTTAACTGATTTTTCCATTTGAGTGACGGATGGGTAACAATGTGCAAAGTCTGGTTGCCATTGAGATGCATTTTAAAGTTTGATTATGAAGTAGTAACACTTGACGAAATTCAGTATCTATTGAATTATGTTTTTAAGTTCAGTGACTGAGTAGTAACATAGGGCAAAGTTCAGTGACCATTCATATAATTAACCCTTCAATTTCTTGCGCAAAGTAGAAGTCACTGGCTCAATATTACTTGTCATAACCATTTGGATAGTTGCATCATTTTAACAAATTCATTAGGGCTAACAAAATCTACTAAAACACAACAAATGCCAGAAAGCATTTGGAAGATGAACACATTCCACTAAATTATCTATTGATTAGTTTCATTAGTATTTTCTTTATCACGTTACACAACTACCGTTTATAACTATGCTACTAGATGAATTCCTCTTTAAACATCATCTCCGAAATCCCAAATGTATCAAAAATTCATCCATGTTAAAAAAGCTCAACCAAATCATACAAACAAACTATAAAATCATAAACAACGTCTTTTTTCACTTTTACATGTTAATCCTACACCAATGAAAGCATAAAATTTTATTTCATAACAAAAATATTGAAGGAAAAAGTACATTTTTTGCCATACAAATTTGAACTAATGAGGGATGTAGTGTACAATAAGCTTGAATGGGAGAAGAAGTTTTTTGTAATCTTGAAATGTGCATACAAATGAACAGTATTTAACCATTTTCTTCCTTTTTTTATTCTTTATAATTTATGTATTCGAAATATTATTTATTTAATTATTTCATAAATACATAAATTACTAAATAAATAATTACGTTAAATTACGGAAAAGATTAAATTCATTAATAAATATAAAAAACATAGAACAATTAATAAAAATTCTACAACAACGAAAATATAAAATCATGCCATCAGAAAATAGTACAATACATTTCGAATTTGGATATACGATATTACGAAGTCGCTAAATTTTTGCAATTTAATTCTAATTCTCAGAATTCATATGTTCATCCCACAAATGATCGATTAATGCATTTTGAAGTGCAATGTGAGTTTCTTTATCTTTGATTTGTCTATGACGAGTAAGGAATTTCTGAAAATGTCGATTTACATTAAATTAGATTATCGTATGTATGTCGCTATTTAATATATTTCGTGTTAACTTTAATAAATAATCGTGTTTGATGTATTTTAAATTGTTTTCGTCTTTTAATTAATTTATTAATTATTATGTCTTACATTTAAAATTTATTTTAAATACAAATAATAATAATAATAATAATATTAATAAAAATAATAATAATAACTTATTGTATTAAAAAATATATAGCACAAATGACATAAATACCCTCAACAAATTTATTTGGAAAATGTTAAATAAGGGCAAAATGGACATTTTACACTTTGCACTATTTTGCACCAAAATGGTGCAAAGTTTGGTGTTGGGTTGGAACAACTTTGCACCAAAAAATGGTGCAATGGTTGGAGATGTCCTTAGTGACTATTTTACAATTTTGTCACTTCGTCAATTAAGATATTTTAACATAGTTTAAGCCCTCATTTGATCCTCATTAAATTCAATTACATTACATTACATTTTTCTCTCTTCTATTTTTAACCACACAGTCTTCCAAAAAATAATATTTCACGTAAATCGAAAATTTTTCCTTCTTTTTCAACCACTCATTTTTCTGAAAAATATTATTCCTCTATTTTCATTTTCAGATAATGGGGGTCAAACGGGGCTAAAGGTCAATCCTCTTTGCCTAACCTGAACCTGAACGGTTGGCCAAATTCCTCGTAACATTACTCGGCTTTTAGGGCATCAAGTTGCTAGTAAATAAATAATAACTAATTGTGTGTAGTTTTCTCGGGCGTGGATTTTTCTAGTAAGCGAAAAACTGGCCGAAAACTATTAGACGACTTATCCCAACTCGTCGTTCCTACGCGATTTACCGGCGATTGGGGTCCACTCCTCACCAAATACAAAATCCATCTTTGAAATTGTAACCTTCGCCGGCTGCTTGGGCAGACCCAAACAACGTTCAATTCTATACATACCCGCACAATATATCTATATATATCTCTAATCTCTGTATCTATATTCTATATATATCTGTGTGCATATGTAACTTTTATCCTATCTGTCTATATATAGAGATTAGAGTATATTTAATTATTAGATTCAATTTCATACAGAATTGCCAGCCTCGCTCTGATTGGTTCTATTATTGCTGGATCTCATATACACATGCTATACTTGTATATACAGATCCATTTGATTTAAGATTCAGCTTCTTCATCTCTTTTCCAGCTCTCCCAGTGATTTATCTTTTAGGTAATGCTCGATGTTTTTATCGAATTTGGAGATATGTATTTGTAAACTTTTATTGGGTGTGACTTATATATTGAATGCTGTTATGAGGCTGCATTTAATTGTATGTGCATCCACGGAATTGTAATTTAACATGGGTTGTTTATGATTGTTGTGTGAATTGCAATTGGGATTTGAAGAGGTTTTCTCATTGTGAATTTGATTCAGACTGCCGAGTCTGGGTTGACTTGTTGGTTCCCACGAGGTTCTAGGGTTCTTGTTGGTCGGGGACAGCTTTAGAAACATGAAAGTGATTCTTGATCCTATTTCAATTTTATTTACTTTAGTTATTAACATTGGGGGTGTAAAGTTAGGGCATTTACATTCGACATTGTTTGATTTCCTGCTTCTTCTTCAGTCCATATTCACGTTAGAGTGTTTTTTTTTTTTGAATTATCTTAAATATAGTTTAGTGGTTAGTTGGATTGGAATTTTGCTGTGAATGATTGTTTTGCTAACTGATCCTCATTTTTATTTAAGATATTGTTAATTAATGTCCGTGAAATTATATTCTCAGGCTCTGTTTGCTTTGTAGGTTCAGATTTTTACTGAACTCTTACTCAATTCACTGCTTGAGGCCTGACTTAGGCGGATAGGTCAGGGATACTAATCACATTTTCTACTTGAGGCGAGCTTCTGAAAGTATCTCATTTTTTTGGGAGGTAACCTCTGATGCGTTGTTACTAGATGAAGACAGCTCAGGCATGGCGTTTAGGCACGAAAGACGTGCAAATATTGCCTCCGCCTCGCCACCGCAATCATTTAAAGAAGCCCACGTGGATTATCGTGTTGGTTTCTTTAGTTAGTTTGTTCTTAGTTTGTGCTTATGTGTATCCACCTCATAATTCTGCTGGCTGCTATGCTTTCTCATCTCATGGTTGCAAGGCAATGCAAAATTGGCTTCCACCCGCTCCCTCAAGAGAACTCACCGATGATGAAATTGCTTCTCGTGTTGTAATTAGGGATGTTCTGGATACGCCGCCTGTTATACCTCAGACTCCCAAAATAGCATTCATGTTTCTGACACCAGGTGCTTTACCTTTTGAGAAGCTGTGGGATAAATTTTTTCAGGTACCTTTTTATTTTATGATAAAACCTTCGATCTTATTTAGATTGCCTATAATTTTTTTTTTCTTTCTCCCGAAATTATATTCTTATTCTGTGATTATATTCTTATTCTGTGCTGCTTTTGCAAATTGATAAAACCAATTCTTGTTCAAACAGAGTGCGTTTGAGTGATTATATTAAGACATACAGAATCATTCATATATATTGATCATGTTTGGATTGCATTGGATATCTAACATCCTGTGCAATTATGGCATTTTGATGTTTAGATTAGGCAGATTTTCTTACAGTCAGAATTTGAAATCCAATAATTAGCAAGATATTGCCACAAGTTTTGATAGGACAAGACCTTAAGTTGTCTGATTTGTGCTCATTAATAATTTACTCCCGATTTATTGGATATGGTGTCAAATTTTATTGTGGACATAGTATAGTGCGTCAGTAGAGTGATTAAGTTTTATAGTGCGTCTAGTTATATCTTATGATTTTGTTTATGCAATGGATATATGATTAAAAAGATTTGTGTGTATCTGAGCCTTTGCAGATCGTAGCTAGTCTGTAGAAGACAATAGATTTTGCCTAGCACATGAGCACCATATGAACTTAGAAACATTCTTACTAAAAGGCTATGAAATGTTTTACTAGATACAAAAATCTTTATATGCTTTAAAATCGTCTTAAACCATCAAAGAAGCAGCTTTTTGTGGATCTTTCGATTAGTATATATGGTAGGTATGACTGACAGATTTTGGAAGCTTATTAACTGCAATTGTCTGCCCTTTGTCCATCACAAAAATTAAAAAAAGAGGATCAATCCAGTTTTGTATTCAGTTGTGTGCTTGACTTGGACTCTTGAAAGGTTGAATATTCCTTTTGGAGTTTTACATCTAAGCTCTTTATCCCATAGACCTAATGTTTGTTGAGCCTTTTTTTTTTTTTTTGGCTAATGACAAAATGATTTGAAAATTCTCGAGTAGGATTGAATGATATGTGTTCAGAAAATAGGAAAACAAGCCAAAAAGGGGGACAAAGAGAACAAATTGCCACCTAACATTGACTTTTAGTGTGCTAATTTGCTGAAAATATACAAGGAAAAGTTGCTTCAAAATGAAAAGGCTAGGAAAGAAAGTCTTCATTTGACTTTATATTTTAGGCTCACGAACTGAAGGTGCTTCCTTTTTGTGGTGTTGTGATGTTAAGCTTTCCCATTATCCACTACAATACCTGCCAATATGTATCTATTTAGGCCATACCCTAATAACTTATTTAGCTGATACGAGGAGCAAAATTTATGAGGGCCCAGTACTTCAGAAGGGTGTTGAATTTTATGTGGCTAGGTATCTGCAGATATTTTTTCACAGTTCACTTGTTCAAGTATATGCATGTCTGGTCCTGAAATGATGCTTCCAAGCTCCATCTTCCTGGATGAGTTGTGTATAGTTTGGTCTTGTTTGTTTAGTTTTTACCGTCAATGGGGTTTACAACCAAGTTCTGTAGTTGAGTCATAGACTTAGTAAACATTGATTTTATGGTGAGATGTAAAACTGCCAAAAAAATGGAAGGAGAGATATTCTGAAGGGGATTAAGACAGATCAACCACAAGACAAAAGATGGTGAAAATGCAATCAACATTCATTAAAAATTCAAATGGATATTAAATGCCCTCACAATTTTAATCACAAGCTCAAGTCTATATAAAGTAACCAACCCTGATCTACAGAAATGAGAGCCTGAAATTCTCAGCCCCAAAGGAAAGGATGGAATAATCAGGTTGGTCCTTCTTGGGGGGAAGGGTGGGATTTAAATTTTCTTATGTGTTATGCATGCATAAGGCATTCCTGTTTGTAATTTTATAATGGCAATTATTATCCTCCATTTGCACAATTTTTAGTCATTTTTTTGTTCATTTGGCAGGGCCATGAAGGTAAATTCTCTGTCTATGTTCATGCATCAAAAGACAAACCAGTGCATTTCAGCCGTTACTTTTTCAATCGGGAGATTCGCAGTGAAAAGGTTTATATCTCCTTTTCAAACTTATTTTATGGTTTAATTTATCAAAGTTAATAAGAGCATTTAAGGGGTTTGTAGTATTTTACTAGCTTAATAATTTGGGGCAAGATGAAAGTATAATATCTTACGTGCTTGTTTATTGTGTAAAATGATCATGATACGAGATCAAGTTCAGAGTTTCTAAATTGTGTTATTATTTTGAATTTGTCGACTCTTCTCTGGACATCTTCTTTTGCAAAATTTCACTGTGGATCACCTGATTATATGTCTACTGTGTCCAAAATATTGTTGGATAATTGACTGAATTATTATTTCCCCAAGGAATGCTGTACTTTCTTATCTTTCTTCCTTTGTATCTGTCTATTTTCTGTTGTGTAATAAAGTGCCAAGGGTCTGAATTCAGGTAAAGTCCTTCATTATGCTTCTATTAGGGTTCTAACTGGAATAATATAGACAGAATGTGAATAAGCAGATTTTTATTGAATCCTGAAAAAAGATGACAGAAAAGAAAGATAAAAGGTAGTCGTTTGAGAGGACTACACTCTCCTGAGCCTTCTCACTCAATATTTTCCTGCCTTCCCTACCTATTCCCTTCTCTATTTATAAACTCCCTCTAAATGTTTTTGTCTACCTCGGCCTGCCCATCTAACCGAGTTTGTTGCTGCCCTCCCCTTTTCCGGTCTTCTTGACCCTTCTAGAATAGATGTATTTGATTGGGGGCTTATCAATACCCCAGGGATCCAAATAAACCTTGTCCTCAAGGTTGAAAGCCGAAACATATTCCCAGGAAGCCTTAGTAATGGGTAATCCTTTCCATTGAATCAGAAGTTCTTGCCGCCCTGTTGGTAATGAACTTTCCTCAAGCACTTGTTCTGGTTCCACAATCCACTCTAACATGGCATCCAGGTGCAGTGGCAATTGTAGACAAGGCTCTGCAGCCCCAAGTGACTTTTTTAATTGAGATACATGGAACACTGGGTGAATCGTGGCAGTAGGAGGCAACTCCAAACGATAAGCGACCGATCCTATGCGTTTAACAATCTTAAAAGGTCCGGAGAAGCAAGAGCTCAACTTCTTCTTAACCATCTTAGCCAATGAATGAAGGTGATATGGGCAGAGTTTCCCATACAATTTATCCCCTTCATTGAAATGGATATCTTGACACTATTGATTGGCTTGCATTTCCTGCTTTTCCCCTGCAGCCGCTAGACTCCCCATCTCAACCCACACTCCTCGGCCTTCCTGTTGTAGTGTTTTCACCATAGGTTTAAGAGACACCCGTCTTGTGAAATCCCGGGTTTCCTTTTAGTGTAAGCCATGTCTCTACCATCCTAAATCTCATTGTCAACATCTTCCAATTAACTTCAATATTACCTTAACTGCCCAGCCATTGCATTCCTAGAATTACATCATTCATTATTTCCCAGCTCCATTGGCAAGAAATTTTCCACGATTTTCAGCCCTCGTACCTTCACTACTATCCCCTTGCAAATTCCTTTTCCCTTTACTGCAACTTCTGTGCCCATCACTACCCCATAGTCGGACGTGGCTGTGATTGGCAAGTCCAGCAGTTTGATCAGTTCAAGGGACATGAAGTTGTGAGTGGCTCTGCAATCTATTAAAACTGTCTTCTTGTTCCTATTTCTCCAATTATTTTTATCGTCCCAGGTATAGTGAGTCCAACAACCAGATTGAGTGAAAGCTCGATTACCTCAGTCATTACCATGGTTTGACAGTCCACTGGAGTCACTACATCTACTTTCCTTGCACCCTCATCCTGAACCAGTATAATTCTTAACTCCCAATTTTTACAGCACTGCCCGACGGAGTATTTTTCATCACATCGAAAGCACAAACCCTTCTCTCTCTTTGATTGCCACTATGTGTCAGTCATCATTCTGATTGGTGGCTTGCCTCGCATGTCCGGTGCCTTTTCTCCGACCATCAGTGGCCGCATTGGAAAATGGTCGACCACCCTCATCTCACGATCAGGCCTGCTTTGAAAGTCTTTGAGCTCAAGTGATCCTTCGGTAATTTTACAGCCTTATTTCTTTCTTCAACCCGTTGGGCTGTTTCCATAATTTAACCCAGCCGATTTGGTTGATGTAGCCTAACTCAGCGCTGATTTTTGGATTAAGTTCATTTATGAAGGCGCTTTCCAAAATCTCCTCTGGGATACCAGGTGTCGAGGCTGCAAGGGCCTCAAAGCTTCGCCGGAACTCTTCCAGCAAACTCGCGTGTTGTGTGCCCAAGAATCTCTCGCATAAAATTCCCTCTTGTGTGGAGCGGAATGAAGCATGAGGAGCCACCTAAATGGCTTCCAAGTCTAAAATGGAGTCCTACCTTCGGTCCATTGTAACCAAGTCAATGTGTCTCCATCGAGGCTAACACCTACCTCCCTGAACTTCTCCTTTTCATTCAATCCGTTAACCTCAAAGTTCCTCTTAGCTCAATATAGCGATCCATTTGGGTTATCACCACTGAATATTGGCATATCGAGCTTCCTAACTTGCCATCAGTTGTTCTCTCCTTAGCCCTGATCCACACCTTCTTGGAGTCTTCCCTTGTCAAAATCGACTGATCCTTCAGGCCACTTTCCTCTATCTAGTGCCTGCTGTCCAAGCCTGTGTGTGTTTCTGGGATGCTGCCAGAACCTTCTCCTCTAAGGTCGTAGTCATCCCAGCCTTTTGATTCGCTATGACGCCACCACTTTCTGGGTGTCTTCCACACATTGCAGGATTTTAGCCATAATTTGGGTGAGGATTTCACTGATTTCTCGAACCTCTGCATAGCTCTGCCTTCACTTCTTCGAGCTCCTTCTCTGCAGTCTCCACCTTGCAGTTGGTTTTCTTTTGCTCCGTCAGGAGAAGCTACTCTGATACCAATTGTTAGGGTTCTAACTGAAAAAGTATAGACAGAATGTGAATAAGCAGATTTTTATTGAATGCTGAAAAAAGATTACAGAAAAAGGATAACAGGTAGTGGTTCAAGAAGACTACACTCTCCTAAGCCTCACTTCTCACTTACTATTTGCTTGCCTTTCCTACCTATTCCCTTCTCTATTTATTCACTCCCTCTAACTTTTTGTCCACCTCAACCTGCCAATCTATCTGAGTTTATTGCTGCCCTCCCCTTCTCCAGTCTTCTTGATCCTTCTAGAATAGGTGTACTTGACTGGGGGCTTACCAGCTTCTAAGTTGGGTATTCATGTACAACTGTGTAAGGAACTTATGTCAATCATTTTCCAAGATGTTGTTGTAATTTTTCCTTGCTACATTATATGCTAGAGTTTAAATTCCAAATTTAGTGCCACACAATAGGGTGCTATAGACTCTATGAAATCTTCTTTGATTCTTTTTGAGGATTGTTTCAACATTCAATGCTGAAGTCGTCGATGATGAAGCAGTTCATGGGAAACATACACAGAATGTTGGAAAACCTTCTTGGATTAGGGGGATATTTCTTCTCATTGTGGTAAAATTTGTTAGAAGGGCATGGGGATGGTTGGGTTCTATTGTGTGTGGCACAGCTCTTTCTGCTGTATTTGGTTGTTGTGCATCCAAGGTCGAGATGATATTTTGACTTGATATGTTTTTTGATCCTGAATTTAGTGGAGACAACTAATATGTGGAAATAAACCATTGATGCTACGTTAACTTACGATTTGACTAGTAGGGATGGCAACAGGGCGAGTTCGGGCAGAGCGAGAGAGCATTTTCCTGCCTTGTTACCCGTTTAGGGTGGGGCCACCTTATTTATTTATTATTATTTTAAGTTCTTGATAATTCATTTTATTGTCCCCCATTCATTAAAGTGAGACAATAATATAGTTATTAAATTTGTTAATTTATTTATTTTTAAAAGTTAAATTATTCGAATGTATTTGGTAAATTAAGGTCTTTATTATTTATCATATTTTTTAGATAATCTTAGCTGCTATCTTCCATTAGAATTAATGAAATTCTATGCAGTTTTTCATTTAAAGTATTGAATTCTTAAAATAATAATAATAATAATAATAATAATAATAATAATAATTGGGACAGGCCCCTTTTACCTGTACCGACCCGATTACCCGATTAAGCGGGTAATCCCCGCCCCGAACCCACGGATATCGGATATGACGGATTTTTTTGCCACCCCTAGCTAGCAGTGGCAGGAGTTTCCACCTAGCCAGAACATAAACACAAATTAAAAAATCACAAACATAATGCACAAATATCCTAAGGGAAGCATGGCCACTAATCACACGATATAATGAGATCTAAGCAATTAGGTTGTGCAAGGATCATTAGCTCCGACATCCAAAATAAACTCAAGTAGTAGACCTGACATGTTATTCTGCTGAACATTTGTTATAATTTTTTTGCAGGTAGCATGGGGAACAATATCGATGCTAGATGCAGAAAAACGTCTTTTAGCAAATGCACTCAAAGATCCTGAAAACCAGCATTTTGTACTGCTTTCTGACAGGTGACTAGATGATAATGCCATTGTCGTGTCAATTTCTTATCAATTTTGGGAACTCATTTAACTAGTTGGTTGCTGATTAAGCATTTTTCATGAACTGCAGTTGCATACCACTTCGTAATTTTGAATATGTGTACAACTATCTCTTGTACACAAATGTTAGCTTTGTAGACAGGTAAGCCTGTTGTTTCTGGACTGCAATTATTTCTGTGTGTGTGGCAATATATTGGAGGCTCATTTGGCCTGGCTTAAAAAAACACTTTACTATCTATACTTAGAGAATTTTGAAAAATGACAGATTTGACATATAGAATTTTGAAAAATGAACTTAACCCAAAACTTCTACTTGAAATATGCAGTTTTCTTTATCAAATGACATACCTTAAGAAAAAAAAAATTTGAGAATTATTAAAAATAGCTCATAATTTTACTTGAGGGCTAGTGCTAAAGGAAGATAAATGAAAATCTAAAGCATGGTATTGCCTTTTTCCTTTATGATTGTTGTTTTAAACAAAATAGAGTTTCAGAGGTTCAATATGTTAATTTATTAGGATTATGATAGTTTTAGTCACCTCATTTGAATATATAAGTATGAGAAATAACTATCAATCCTGCTATTTTCAGCTTTGAGGATCCTGGTCCTCATGGAAATGGAAGGTATTCTGACCACATGCTACCCGAAGTTGAGAAGAAAGACTTTCGAAAGGGTGCACAGGTGAGGTTTTATATTTTGATACAGTTAATTGTTAGTGAAAATTCCAGACCTTGACAATCATTTCTAGTGTGTCCAAATGAAATATGGTTAATAAAAATGGTAAGAAGCGCATATTGATAATTACATACTAGTCCACCTTTTATCTCCATATATGAGATTCTGATTGCCAACTTTATCTTGCCCACAGACTGAAAAATAAAAATGACATGCACAATTTTGTCTTGTTGGTTTCACAAATTATGAATTAATTTGGTTCTATGCCCACGGGTTCAAATTTACAAGTTTGCTATGGATTATTTTAACATGGTACATCTACGATGTTGTCAAATCAACCTAACTGTAGCTTGCTTAGTATCAGCGTGTTTAGATTCTCTTATTGTGATTTGTTTCTTTCTGGACATTGCAGTGGTTCACAATGAAGCGGCAGCATGCTATTATAATCATGGCGGACAGTCTCTACTATACAAAATTTAGGATTTATTGCAAGGTGATAAACAATTTGGCTGATATATATATATAATTTTTTTTTTCCTGGTACTGTAGTTTTCTTCTTCTATAGTTTCTCTATTTAATTTCAGTTATTTTTGGATAATTTGATTCTTTCTCAAGCATAAAACTGGTTGGAATATATCTTTGAGCAGTATTGACCTAGACTAATATTGTCATAAGTTTCTATAATCCAGGTGAGCAAAAAAAGCAATACTACATTTATGGTTTTGTTTAGGCATCAAACAATTAATCATCTGTTCAGTGAGTCAGTCCCCATTTTGTACATCATCTGATGGATTACATGGGTCTCAAAGTGATAGGCTTATAAGGTACCAACCATTCTCAGTATTATGCCACGTGAATCTATAATCCCTTCAGAGAGCTGTTTTCGAAGTGAACAAAAGTAGGAAACATGCTGAAGACGACAAAGAATTCAGTAAAAAGGGCCATGTTATTCTGCTTTCAATGTCGCTAATGGATGTAAATATTTCTCTATAACATATCAGGTTTATTACTATTTTATTTTATATAGAGTTTGAGGTTATTGTTGCAATCGGGGGGGTCTATGCTTTTTTATCTTTGATTTCGAATTTTTAAGTTGGAATCTTTTGAACTAGAGGAATCGCTAGTAGATATAAAACAAATTCAACATGAAATTCATTTTATCTGACTTTATGCAAATATTAAAATGATTAAAATTTCTCCTAATTTATATTCCAAATTTTTAAAAGATGGAGCTTGTCATATCCTTGACTTGTTTAGGACATCTACCACACACTAGGTGGTGCGGTAGACACATGCTTGAGAAGTGTCCCTCATAGCATTTTGCTTTTCCCTTCAGTATATACTTTTACCTTGAATCACTGTTGATGTGTCTTCTGATTAAACAGCCAGGCATGGAATATGGACGCAACTGCTATTCTGATGAACACTATTTGCCTACATTTTTCCATGTGAGGATTGTTTATTTCTACTTTCTTTCGTATAATCCTAGGACATACTCGCCACTTCAGATAATTTCAAGGGAATTGCTTTTCCTTGTTTCAGATTCTTGATCCAGCTGGAATTGCAAATTGGTCCATCACACATGTTGATTGGTCTGAAGGGAAGTGGCATCCAAAATCATATCGATCAAAGGATGTTTCCTATGATCTAATAAGGAATATTACAGTATGACTCTACTCTTCCCAAACATTATATCATTTCCATTTATAGCTTCCATTTTCTGTCCTCTTCTGAGAGTTCTAGTATATTTTTTGATATACCATCTCAAATTATCTTATAATTAACTATATCATGGAAAATGATTGGTCTGAATAAATCATGATCTGGTATTGTGGCCTCAATATTTAGAATTGCAGAGAGATAAATGGTACTATATTTTATATTTTTCGATATACAATCTCAAAATATATTAGTAGTTGACTAAACCATCGAATATTATTGGTCAAAATGAATCATGATTTGGCACATTGGCCTCAATATGTGTCTTTGAAGGGCATAAAATGGTACTTGATGGTATATTTTTTGATATACCATCTTATAGTCAAACTTTATCATTGAAAAACTCTCTATTTAGACTTGCATAGAGCAAAATTGTATTTTATACTTTATCGATATAGCACTCAAATTATCTTATAGTTAAATATATCATTAAAAATTATTGGTCCCAATGAATCATGATCTGGTATTCTGGACTTGCTATGTAGATTTGCAGAGAGCAAACTGGTACTTTATTTGTGAGTTTAACTAATGAAGCTTTCAACTATTTTTGCAGTCTATTGTCGATAGTGTGCATGTTACAAGCGCCAAAAGGGTTAGTGTCATTGATGGAAAAACTATTCTTCATTTAAGTTATGGTATATTGGGTTTCTAAAATTCTTTTGGTTCTGTGATGCAGAAGGAAATTCAGATTAGACCTTGCTTGTGGAATGGAAATCAACGGCCATGTTACTTATTTGCAAGGAAATTCTTGCCTGAAACTTTAGATAATTTGATGGCCATTTTCTCCAACTATACATCCATATGAGTGGGGCGATAGCTTCGGAGTTGATTCTTTGGTCGATGCAAGAGTTGCATTCGACCCCCTTCATTGCTATTTCTCCTGTAGCTTCTTCTGCTGTTGTAAAGCGTGTCATTTTAGATAGGATCAAGCGCTCCCCAATATGACTTCTCTTTTAGTGACAAGGCAATTGACAGAAAATGGAGGCTATTTCAAGCCGAGCTGAAGAGACTGAATGTTGTTTTTGGTACTGAGGACGAAGATTTCTTGTCGAATTTTCCCCTCGATTTTGTGGCTGTTAATGTTTATAGCAAAAAATAAAAATAAAATTAAAACTAGGGGGACTTACAGCAGCGCCGTATGGTAGATTGATCTTTGTAGAAGTTGCTACTATGACCTTGGCAGAAACATTTTTTTTTTTTTTCCATTTTTATTGTGAGAGTAATTTTTTATTTTCCATTTTTTTTTCCTAGTAGAATTCCCTGTAGTTGAATTATAGTATATTGAAAATATAAAACTGAACGCTAGCTGCCGTAAAAAAAAAGTGTCTTTACATGTCTGCATCATTTTAGAAGTCTTATTATTATATAGTATGTTAGCTGAGCAAATCACGACATGTTTGACATGACTTTTGAGAAGTCAAAAGTTACTTTTGAACTTGTTTAAAACCTAAGCCCCTGTTTGGAGGGCATTTTTTGGACCAAAAAATTCATTTTCCTACCGCTGCAACCTGCTGGCGTCGCAACACTTGACCATTACATTCTCATGTGGGGCCCAGGTGACCAACAAATGGTCCAAAAATTCATTTTCTTCTTTCAAAAAATGCTCTCCAAACAAGGGCTTAATAAGATTTTTACTTTTGATATTTGGAATAAAGCTTCTTAAGGAAACTACCTTTATTTGTGTTTTGAAAATCAATTTCTAAAGAAACTTCCTCTTCCAAAAATATTTGTAGAGGAGTTTTCTTTGAAAGATCTAATTAGAAGAAACATTTTTATAAAATTATTCAAACAGGTTAAAAGGCCACTTTTGAATCTTAAAAGTTTCATTTGATTTCTCAAAAGCCACGCCAAAGAAGTTTAGATAATTTTCTATCCTTCGCATAATTAGTAGGGCTAAGGGAAGCTTATCAAAGGTGATTTCTTCTTGAAGCTCTTACAAGAAATAGAAACTATTCAAAAGTCTTCCCTCGTTGAATGGCACTTGATAGTGTTAAAGATGAAATTGTCTAGATAGAGTAGTAGTAGATCTTTTAAGTCGCAATAAATATGATATAACTGCAATTCGAATGCAAAACCATAGTTATTAAGGCAACCAAATTAGCCATGAAAGGCAGCATACACCAAAAAACAAAACTGATGGACATTTTCACCTTCATTACAGCTGCAATACTCAATACTCTTCTGCAGCCACCCCACTTGCAGGTCGAGATGAAAGAATACGACCTTCCATCGCAACTTGTGTGATGCTTGTTTTAATCCTCATCCCCACCCTCAACCAAAGATGAAGACTCGTCTGTGTAGAGACCATTTGCGTTCAATTGCCATCTTTTACAAAACAACTGGCAAATTACCACCCGAGTATGTTGAAGCCCTCAAAACCAAAATTCAAGAATCATCCCACTTTGTTACATAAATATCTAAGTGGTCTTTCTGCAATGAGCAAATAGCAATATAATTATAAGGGTAAGATTCAAAACAAACTCAATGTGTACATTTTTTAGATATGCACCATACTACTGTTTTTGTTACCTTTTAACCATGTCTACTTGTAGTACTAGACACTATAACAAATTATATTTTTTTCATTTTTTTATTCTTTAAGATCGTCTACTCTACCTAACCAAACATGAAAACTGTAGAAACATACGTCCTGTTTGGATGTAGTACTTGACACTTATTTTGTTTCTTTTTTATTCTTTAAGATCATCTAGTCTACCTAACCAAACACGCCAAAGTGTTTTTCTTTCAGATGGGGCGGGAGGTGGGGAACACATATATCTTATCCGTGGATTTAATGGTTATAATGTGTAAGACAAGAAAGGGTTAGTGAGAAGAATGAAATATTAACCAAAATTTACTCTCTAACAATAAGATTTAGTTAATTCAGATTTTTTTTTTACATCTTTTTAATGTTGAATTAATTGAGCTTAACAATAGAGGGAGACCCCCTACTTTTTCCAAATACCCCAGTAAGGTTCTATTATGGTTTTTGTATCAATATAGAGGATTACAATGTGAGATTGGACAAGACAACCTCGAAAATTTTGTACGATAGTCTTTCTTCCTTAATATTGTATAACCTATCCAATCCAACGCACCAAACATGAGGCACTTATCATAAAGAGCTAGTTTCAGTAGTGTACCTTATTCATTGTTTGCTGAATAAATCTCAACAAACCATATGGCTATTATCATAGCATGATGAACCTGCAAGAGGAAAATGGACAAAAAGAAAATTGGAGCAAATTTGGATCATGTTATAAGTAGCAACATCAGAAAGAATATTTAGATATAAGGGTTGTCACTTCGAAGACAAGTGTGCACCTCTGGAGAAAATACAAGGCTAACTGCATGGTCCCCTTCTTGTAAGCACAAACCACTTCAACCTAAATCATATGATTCGCATACAGTCTACATTCAGATATTTTAGATCACTTTATCCCATGGATGTTAACATGCTTGTTACGCAAAAATGAGAATATGCAATATAATAAGAACAAGAACATAAGATTTATGTAGAAACCTAAGACGGAAAAAACCACGGGCAGAAGAGGAAAAATACTATGAAACCAGTAATAGAGTCCTAATAGAACAAGACTAACATATAATGGATTCCAAATAGGATTGGGCCTCTCAACCCCATCCCTATGCTACCACCACAGACCTTTTTCTCATAAATTTAGTCCTTGTTTGGTTTTGAGATTTTAATCTAAATCAAAGTCAACAATTAATTTAAACCACATATTTTTATAGGTTTAACGACTTTTTTATCCACATCAACTTCTATTAAAATCTATTAAAATTTTGATTTTTATTCCCTCCAAACAAGGATTTAGTTTGACCACATATGTCGCACCGCGAATTTTTCAATCCAGGTCAAACTGAATTCCAGTCATCGTACTCTAACAATGCTGAATATCAAATAGCAAGATTTTCAAAAGAAATTATTCATCTTCGAAGTAATTTATATGTGGGTTGATGCTTATAATAAATCTTGACATGTAACGTTTCTTGTGCATTCATGTTTATGGTAGCATCTTATAATGTTAATGTATAAAACCTTGTCCTCAAAATTGAATGTTTTTACCACTTAGGGCTGTCTAGAAATAATGTCCTCTTTTCACATTTATTGCAAGAATTTTTACATCTTCACGGATAATTACTAAAAAAAAGAATATGAGCCCTTGTTTTGGCGCCTGTTATAATCAGTTTATGATCAGTCAAATCACTTTTTATTCACATATTTTTGTGGGACCCACAAGAGTATCCACTTATCGATCATTCATTTCTGTCCATTTATTGTTGAAACTTCAAATGTAACTCAATTGTATGATTCAAAATGAAGATCAGATAGACTTTCTCTTGTAATAAGATATACGATATCTTCTTTGTTCGGAAAATAATATTACATTTGAATAAAGAACTAATGACATGTTGCACGATTATCATATCCAATTATGAAAAAATGACACGTCCACAGGGCAGTGTCATGTTGTATATTTGTTTGATACTTAGCTTCTATATGTTTCCCACTACATGCTAATTAATTTTCATAGTCTCTGCTACAAGTCGGAAGTGAAATAACATTAACAAGATTCTAACTTACTATTTCTGTTCAACCTGTATGACAATGTGTTCAAACTGAATCCTAATATAGTTCAATACAATATTTTAACAACTAGAAAGAACTGTAAAAATGAACATACCTACAGAGAAAAGGAGATCCGCCTATGGCTTAGAAGCAGGTATTTGGAGCTTTTGCAACAAATCTCTACCCAAAATCTAGGAGCTTTTTCGCCAGTCTATTTGCCTTTGAAAGCTCCCCTTTTGAACACATTGAATAAATAAGAGCATAATAAGAATCAAATCCTTGCCGCTGACATGTTTTGCTTTCTAGATCGTCATGAAAATTCGGCACATTTTCTAAGTTTTCAATACCACATGGCTGAGCATGCAAATTGACTCCATGGTAGATTGCCTATCCGATTTCAGTATTTGCTTTCATATCATGTGGATCGAATCCATTATAAGCACCGGAACTCCTTCCAGCAGAGAAAAACATGGATCCAACTTCATTGAGCACAGCAACAGCCTCTTGAGTACTTCCTACAGAGAACTCGTCGGTAAATTAACTTCATTGAGCACAACAACAGACTAATTTTTGGACTAAAAAGGGAAGAGAAGTCAAACGATATGATATAGAGATTCGATACAATGCAATGATCTAAGTCCCCCGTTACCAAGTTTTCCTTCACGAGCAAGGCCTTTTCGCTATATTGCTTGACTTATGGTGCAATTCAACCTTCTTACAACGCTTCCAGTGATTTACAACCAAAGAGCACCGATTCTTTTACAATGTTGAGATTTCCGAGACCTCAACCCAACCCACAAGTTTGAAAATAAAGAGTTTACAAATAGAGACTTCTCTTGCAATGAATGATATATTCAGAGTTGAATACAATAAGAGAGTTGACTAACACTTTAGTAAATAGTAATAATTGAAGTTTAAGTGTTAGATAAGAAAAACTTTGATGAACGAAAAAGTTTGAATCAATCAAAAGTTTTGCTAATGTAAATGAGTTGAGAAGATAGATATAGAGAAATGATTGAGTAGTTAAGATCAATAATATCTCACTTTAATGCTCACAAAGGTCTATACTTGAATGCAAAATGATTTGGTATTTATAGCAGAAAAATCGTCAAAAGTTTTGTCTTACCGGATGAAGCTACCGGTCGACCTCTAGCTTACCGGACGGTCAACTAATCGTTTTTTGTTCAGGAGTCAGAACTTTCAATTTCTAGATCGTTGGACAAACTTGGCATACCGAACATTCGCTAGGATTATCGGACGAGTTCGCCAGAGTTAAAGGACGTGTCTTCTAGGCCAGTTTGCATCCGACAATTAGAATTTTCCTTCTTTTAATATTTTAAAAGGGTGTAATTTTATGAAGGATGTTTCTAACTTGTTTTTCAAGATTTTTAACATTTCTTAAAGTGTATAATTAGTTTCATGCCTTAGAAAAGATTATTATGCAAAAAATTGTGTTTGTTGTGCGAAGACACTTTCTTGAGCTTCAAATGATGTATCTGCCAAATACTTAAGTGTTTTACCTTTACATTTGAGATCAAGGTGTCTAAATCTAATTTCTTCTAATCTCTTCATTGTTTGACTTGATGAAGTGCTCCTTGACTTGTTGTGTAGCCCGGCTTCTACTTTGTTTAATTTTTGCGAAAT